ACCACAATTTCATCATATCTTAATTGTTTACAGATATTTCACCGTGGTCTACATTTTGACATTTTCTCACAGGCACAGTAAAATGAAAATTCCTCGTGATAAAACCGTCAGAGAAAAGTATTATATTTTTCACTCCGTTCCTCTTTTCTTTCCTCTTTTCTTTTTTACAGTTCAGTCATACAACTCTGATATAACCAGATATTTCAGATGTTTTTTCGAGTAATTCAGATAGAACTTAAACTTACGGAAAAACGTTATGTACGTTATTTGTTTAGTAGAACAAAAGTGACGAAAAGCCACTACGCGTCTAGAAGTGATATTATATCCTGAAAACATTTCGAAGATTAGAAATTAGTTTTCAAAAAAAACATCACTGATATTCCGAAGAAAGAAAGATATGTAATAGCTCTGGCAGCGGAGGGTTTAACTATTTTCGCGCCCGAAAGATTCGAAATTAGGCCAAGAAGAAGAAAGAGATGTTCGTGAAAAGACTTGGAACAACAGTTTGAGAAATAGAGTCATCACCAGCGAAACGACCCAGCATCGTCAGGCATTGCGCCCGCAGCAGGTCGGCATGGAAGGTCCACTTCTTCGAGTTTGCCTCCTCCGCGCATTCCCGGCACTGCGTCGCCTTGCGCAACGCCTTGACGTACTTCCCCGTCTCCAAATGGCAGCGTCCAATCTCATGGTGTACCCAAGCCCGCGGCACCGGATGGTCGACATGGATCGACAGATTTTCCAAAGCACGTGCGGCAGCTTCCAAATGACCGAAGCTGAGATGCACCCTGCCTAAAGTCACAAGAGCGCGTGACAGTAGAATGACGTCGTTGATGCTCTTCGACAGCCGCACTATCATGGCAACGTTACTACACGCTCGATCATGCCTTCCCAATTTCGTGTGGATCAGAGACAAATACTGATACGCCAATATTTTGTATCGGCAAGAATTCTCTAAGCTGGAAGATAATGTTAGCAAGTCCTCAGCGAGTCTCAGGGAAGTCTTCATCTTGCCAGCGTTGAAATTAACTTTCAAGTTCTTCAGCATAGCATTGGCGCGATTATTGACATGCTTCAACATCGTCATGGATCGAATTAGTTTGGAAGTCAAGGGTCTCAGCGCGGGGAAAATTTTGCCGGAAGTCTTCTTGCGTTTATTGAGATATCTGAAAAAGGGATAAAATATCCTTTGATTGAAATGTCGAGACACTTAATAATATTCAAGTTTCAAGTCATTAAGAATAAAGGATTTGTCAAACTAAATTTCTAGATATAATTAAATAACGTAATCTCATTTACTTTAAACCGAGAAAAAACTTTATTTTCTTCGATTTTAATTTTAATTCAAATTTTATTTCAAATTATAATGTAGATTTATAGAGACAGTATTTATAGTCGATTGATTATTATTTGAACCAATAATAAAGATTAAAGATGAATGCTAAATAATAACAGAACAATTTTTCGAACACATTTGTATTCGAACAATAGAAATATATAAAATAATAATCCAAAATATGAGTCTGTAATTATTTATACTTTCAATCAAAGATTAAAAACCATTATACGATTGAATTTCGATCGAAAAAGATATTTTTATTTTAAATGTTAAAAGATTGAAGTAATAGAAAATTGACTTAAAAAATTTATAAAGAACCCTTTGAAATTAAAATGCTATTGGAATATCTATTATCTACGTAAAATATAGGAGTTGGATCTACTTGACATCCGTGATTATCGATAGATTGTCAAAAGACTTTGAAGTATCACGCGCTTTAAGCGCCATATTGTCGTGACTCGAAGTCGTCCTAGAAAGCGCGTCATCTTTCCTTGAGCTTTTTTCTGAAATATTCCACGAGTTTATTGTAGCTGCGGTACGTCGTACTGCCACACTGTGACTGCTGTCACGCGGACACACAGTAGCTGCTCGATGATACAATACCAACGCCGACTCGTACTCGCCACTGTACAATTTATGTGGGTGAATTTTTTGGTACTTATTAATTATATATTCTTTTCATCAAGTTTTTTTTACCACTATATTTTATCAATATAAGCGATTTTATAAAATATTTAAATACTCTCACATTATTATGAAACTTTTATATCATATTATTAAATATCATATCATATTATTGCCCCCTCAAAATAGGATTTAATAATTATATGTATTTGATTTAATAATTATTCTTTAATATAAATATATTATATGTAATTGAAAATGTTTTAATACTTTATTAATCATG